ATTTTTTTCTTAATTAGTATTTTTGATTCTCTCTTAACTCTGGTGACCCAGCAACTAATTCCTTGACCTCTTAATCCATAAAATAAGTGAAAATAATTTGCTAACAAATATTTCGGGGGTTAACGATACAAACTTCGGGTTATCCAGAAAGGTAGCTTTTTTATATAACCCTATTCTTAATACATAATCATTTTATGTAAATTTGTTACATTTTTTATATAAATCAATTTTCTCTCTCAAATGCAACTATTAAAAAATTCAAACAATAACTAGATATCACTATTCTTCCAAAATCCAAACTGACAGTGCATCTTATTATTTTATTATACACCACTAAAAACACATGGGAGTTTTGGTATTCTTTAATGTAGACGTATGTTTCATATTTAAGGAAAAATGCACAGTCACTCTTGAAGTTTCAATAATTTCCTCATATACTGCTTAAGTGAACGGGGTCTCTCAGGGATTAATACTAGCTTCTGGAGTCTTTCATCATGCTTCTAGTAACTAGCCATAAGCTGCTCTTGTTTTTCAAATCATAGTATTTGGAGGCTGTTTAGTGGTGCACACAGTAAGCTGCTGTTCCACAGGATGGAGAGAAAAGCTATCAAAGTTCATAGTAGTGACCATCTTCACTTATTTATGTTTGTCTGTAGTTTCAAGTTGGAGACTTAGCAGACAATGACAAATGCTATCATCTTACTTCTCTGCAATTTCAGCACAGAGGTGGCCATACCGGGAGAGTGTGACCTTTCACTATCCCCTTGTACTGTTCCAGAACTGTAGATTAGGGAGAATCTTGCTTGGTGTTTCTCAGTGTGTCAGAAGCAGCAACTGTAAGCATCTGTTACTTTTCTTTTGCACTGCTTGACAGGATTTTTTAGGAGGTCTTATTTTCCTCTTAGCTAGGATGAAATTGCCATCTTGAACTCTGACCTCCCATCTAATTTTTCAAAAGATGGATGAAACAATGTGGAGTGGAGAAGACAGTAAGATAAAGGATTAGGAGTCACAGCTCCAAAAATGCCAAGGTTTTGGGTAAGGGTTTTCTGACACTGGCATTCTCAGAGGTTGGGTTGGCCCATTTTGACTGTGTGGATTATGAACAGGCAAGAGATCAGTGGTTATAATATTGCCTCCATTTTACTATGTGGGTCTTAAAATTTAGGAATGTTCCTTTTTAAAGCTCCTCTCAATGCATTATGCTTTAGATGACTCAACCATAGAAAGACATACACATGTTAAGTCATGTTTGGCAATACAAAGGATGCTGCAATTGTTTAAACCCTTCACACTCCTTTAGATCCAGGGAATGAATGCAGAAGGTTGGGTATGAAAACCATGTATGAGGCAATGAGTTTTTCAAAATGCGGAGTGTACATCTCTTCTATAAAGATCACTGCACATGCATCCAATAAAACACTGCTCTCCCAGACTAGGCATTGAATCCAGGGTCTTTGCAATGAGCTACAACCCCACGTCCTCAGCCCCCACTCCCCCTTTTGAGTCAGGATCTCACTTTCTAGGCTGGGCTCCAACTTGATTCTCCTGCCTCAGCCTCTCAGAAAACAATGTTCTGAAAGTAAAACATTTCAATGGTCCATACTAGTCCTGCACAGTATCCAAAATCTTATGCTGAATGAAATCCTATGCCAGAACAAAGGCCCAATGATCTGTCCTGGTCTGTGCAGGACTGAAGGTCCCAGAGACTTGGGATTTTGTGTCTTCTGATAACTCACACCACCAGTGCTCATGAAGGAATGTGAGAATGAAAAGTGCTTAGCAGAGAGGTGGTATTCCAGGTTCAAGAAAAAAGTCAGCTCCCTGGGGGCAGCATGGAGGTGGGGAAATGCATGCCTACTTTCAAAGGCTATATTAGCTTTCTCTCTCTCTCACTACAACAAAACATCTAAGGTAATTAACTTAGAGACAAAAGTTTTTTTTGTTTTGGCTCACAGTTTGGGAGATTCTTGTCATTGATAGAGTGGTGCTATTGTAGCACGTAATGGCAAGAACATGTGGCAGAGCAAATATCTCATGTTCAGGAAGCAAAAGAGAAAGAGGAAAGGGCAGCATTCCATAATCAAGAATCCCCCCCGCCCAAGTTCCACCACTTCCCAGGAGCACAACCCTGGAGATCAGGCCTTTTACATATGGGCCTTTCTAGTCTGGACATTCAAGACCCAAATATAGCAGAGGGCAAAGTGTTGTTAGTCCCTCAACAGTCTCCACTCAAGAGATTTCAGATATGATGTAACAAAGTGCTACAGCTGAGAATTTAGCTAGGTAAGTTGCACATTTCCTCTGAGGACAATTCTGGGACTAGCTTAAGCACAGAGTATACTCATTTGGTTTCAGGTCCCTGGGCATATGCCAGAGTTCCCTGTAGAGAAGTGGTATTTTGACAGTTATAAAGTTACTTTGAAATAAAATACAGTAGGGCCAGGATCTACTGGTAGTGCTTTTCTGTGCGATTTCAACTATGTTAATTTGAACATCTCTCATTGTATAGACAGTTTTTAAATGTTTATTTGCCATGCATGACAATTGCTCCCTCCCCTTTTTGAGCCAGGGTCTTGCTACATTGTTCAAGTTGACCTTGAATTCCTCGGCTCAAGCAATTGTCAGCCTTCAGAGTAAGTGGAATTACAGGAGTGTGCCATTGTACCCAGCCAATACCCCTTTCACCGCAGTACTGAGATGCAGAGAAGTCCATTCAGGATTTTCCAAGTGACATGTTTCCCATGGACAGTCTCATATTTGTGTGGTGCCTCTAAGATTAGAAAGGTGGTTCCTGCAGTTTTGTCTTCTAATTTATACTAAATTCATATTTTCTTCAACATTTTCCCCCATTTATTGAAGATGGCAAAACTCTACCACCTAGAAATTCTATATACCATCTTGACTAAGAGTGACTTCTATCAATTTATTTTTATCTCCTAGAGGACTGGTGTATATGGCTTTGAAGTTGACAGCAAGGGCTCTGATGTCACATGCTTGAATGGGAATCTCACTTTGGCATTTTTCTAACTTCATGTGACTCAGGGTCACCTATATCGTTAAGGGCTCGGTGCAGGGTTTGTCAAATAAATTATGATCTGGGTCATAGTTCCCTTTGACTAAATATCTCCTTTCTTCCTTCTCTGCTTCCTGTGTTAACCTGTTTTGTGACAGAACACCTAAGACTGGATCATTTATAAAGAACAAAGATTTCTTAGTGTCTGGGTTGGGAGGTTTTCATCCTGCCATTTTCCCATGGTGAAAGGCAGAAGGGCAAGAGAGCACATGAGACACAAGATAGGAGGGGGCTGAGCCCTTCTCTTTATCAGGAACACACTCCCACATAATAGCACTAAAAATACATTCTCACTTCCTACCACTTTTTCATTTGGGGTACAGTTTCTAACATCTGTACTTTGGGGAACACATTTAAACCATAGTTCTTCCTAATCTTAGCGTAAGAAGCCAAGATGGACTGTTTATGTAATTGCTCTGCTCAATGGATTCCTGTAGAACAGATCAAGAATGCTCTATTTATGTGTAGTTTACTGACAAATTAAAACCATGACCTTGTGAATGATTTAAGACCAATAAACATCATCTGAAACTATTTTTTAATGACCAAGTCTTGCCTCAGCCAAGGATCTGCCAACATTTTATCTAACAAAGCTACAAAATACTACAGCTAGTATTAATAATAGATACGAAAAATTTAGTAATATTAGGGCACAAAAATCATTCTTGAATTTTAGAAATGCTATCCCCACAAATTTTAGCAAAACTGTAAGCTTTCTGGGTGCCAAACTACTTCTAAATCTTATTTTACAAGCATTAAAAATATGTTTTTGAATTATATTGCCTGGTATGATTATAGAGTTCAAGTAAAATTACCATATTATTTGGAATCTAGACTTCAAAAGGCTCTCCCAAGAGTTTGTTGGTCTCTCTGGAGGTTCCCCAGCTTATACATTTTTGAGAGCAAGATACATGTTTGTCATGAAGGATTTAGAGTTCATAAAGATAGGAAGAGTAGTTTTATAGCCTCCTCATATCATAGATTGACATAAAACCTAAAACTGGTTCACAGGAAAGTAAAAAGATTTGTGGCAGGATTTCCCACTAGAATTGTAATCTCTGGTTCCTAAATAACATACATTTAAAATGATCTGAAATACAAGCAGATATAAAATGTAGAATGTAATATGTTTGATATATTATTTAAAATATGTGTCTAATGGAGCTGACATTTTAAAAGAAGACAGGCCAACTGAATTTAAATATTGCCTATAAAAGCATGGTATCCTGAGCCCGCTTTAATCTGTCAAAAGGTTAAAAAAAAGTTTAATAAAATTTCATGCTTTAAACACTAAATTTTAAAATTTAAAGCATTAAAGTAAACAAAACAAAACAACTTTGTGGTGAGACAGTCCATAAGCATTAAAACATTCTTGGCACCATTCTAAAAATTAGGCTTGTACTTTACTATTTATGTTAAATAAGGAGATGAGCTGAGTGTGGTGGTGTACTGCAATCCCAGCAGCTCAGGAGGCTCAGGCAGGAAGACCTCAAGTTCAAGGCCAGCCTGTGCAACTTAGCAAGATGAAACAGAGAGAGAGAGCGAGAGAGGGAGAGAGGAAAAGAGAAGAGACAGGGAGAGGAAGGGAAGAGAGAGGAAGAGAGAGGGGAGGGAGAAAGTCACAGCCCATGAGGCCAGTTTGGTTACTGCTTGTTTTGTAAAGTTTTATTGGAACAAACCTATGCCCACACATTTATGTATTGTTCTCTTTCCTTTTGCTACAATTAAGGAGTTAGTTGACCAGTTGCCACAGAGACCATAGAGTTCTGTATATTAAAAAGGTTTTGAAATAAAATGAATAGTAAGATCATTATTGAAAAGAGGAAAATACCCACAAGCACTATGGTTTAAAAGTAGCACTGTGAATATTTAAATCTATTTTCTTTAGAATTTCTTTTTAAAAACTTGAAAAGAATAAAACAGGCACCTTTCAAATCAGATATTTATCTGTTTAAATCTTCACAGGGAAATGACTAACATTTGAAAATCCTACCTCTTAGAAATACAGATGTTAATGGTTATTGAACTGAGATCAAACTATATGGTGGGCCAGCAACTATGCTTAGTGGAGCAGGAGTTTCCAGTATGTTTAGAATGCAAAGAGCTATGAATATTAACCAGCAAGCCAGCTTTAAAAATCGCCGCCCACACATTTCCCTTGCCTCCAGTAGCAAGCAGCACACAAATAGCCCGACAGTGAAGCTGGGCAGACATACCCTTGTCACAGACTGACCACGACTGATACAGATGAGTTTGTTTCGTTTTTCTACCAAAATTAAAAGCAAAAACAAAATAAAGCTCAACAGCAATCATCATAAAAATTTGAAGAGAAAGAAAGAAGCTTAAGGGTGGGAGGATGCTTGGTTCACATGGCACTTTCATTAGAAGGCTATTTTTGGAGCTACAGTACTACTGTTGAGTGGAGAAGATTTTAACAGGCAGGTTGTAGAGCCAATATGTAAAATGACAGCGATCCATTTTAACAACTATAAGGTCATCACAGGTTATTGACAGAGAAATTCTACATGCTAAGCAGCTCAACTATGAAGAAATTTTAGAAGTTTGAGGTAAAAATACACTTGAATCTGCAATTGAATTAGGCAAGATAAACCTCACTGCACATCAGGGTCACCAGGACAGAAAGCAAATGCCAGGTTACCTGAAGCACATTTATCAGCCACAGTGATTTATTGAGTGCTTTAATAATACAAGTGTACATCAACTGATCCACAGTCAAGAGTGGCAGGTCCCTAAGAAATTTACAAGCACTTTAAGTAAATCAAAATACATTATTTTTTGTTCAATCCGATAGTCTTCTGTGTGGGGGACAGAAGACTAGTGATAAACAGGGTCTCAGTAATGCACAGTGATTCTGATTGAAGCTTTTGTACAAAAACTTGTTCCCAGTAGCATGCACCCACCAATAAAGACTTCAGTACAAAAAATTAACCCTAAGCACTACATTTAAGTAGAAACAAGATATAATTCTGAATTTGTGGTTTTCCAAATATCACATAAAAGAAAAACAAAAACAAAAACAAACAACAGAAACAAAACCACACAGTAATACAAAGCTTTGTAAGAAAGCTCTTACTATTACAGATCCAACATCATCTGCACCGAAAACAAAAGTTCCCATCCACACTGAGGTGGGGGAAAAAACCCAAAATCTTTCAAGTTAACAGAAAAGGAAAAGAGAAAAGAGAGAGGGAGAAAAGGGGGAAGACAGAGAAGAGAGAAAGAAGGAAGAAGGGAGTGATAAATGACATACCATCACAAAACAGCTCAAAATTTAATAAAACTGGGAAGGTGAGAACCGAGGTCCAGAGGGGTGGCAGGGCTATTGATGCACTTGGTGAATGTGCTTGCACAGGTCCGGCGGGGGCAGCGGTCGCAGGCCCCTATGTGGCATACCGCTTGGTCCACTGCCTGGCCATCCGGTCGTGCTCTGCTCTGTTGGTCATGTACTGTGTGGCAATGCTGCCCACCAGAGGGTCGGCTGTAAGGCAAACAAAGTCAGCAGTCAGCGAATACCTGTGCCTTTTCCAATTCTAAGTCAGGCAAGGGTATCTGGAAAGTTGACCCTTGCTCAAGGAGGTGATGAGGAGTTACAGCTCTATTCAGAAATATCTCTACAGCAGAGTCAATGACCTGCCCAAAGTCTACGTTTAACACAAAATGCCTGAAGAGTCGTCCATGTTTTACTGATACCTTTTGTCATATTTCTGGTCCATTCTTACTCTTTCCCTGTTCCCACCTTTGTCTCCCAGTGGCTTTTTCTCTGTAAAAATGCAGATGGGCTGTGGACTCTTCCAGGGTCCTTTAGGTTGAGATCTCTTGAGAAGAGGTTCAGACAACCTGGACAACTGTGGAGTTTACCTAGAGTCAACTCTACAGGCAGTGGCTGCCATTATGATTCTCATTACCCGTTAAGAGCGTCAGTTGAACACAACCAAACAGCAGCTGTTAGATCAAGAGAAATGGGGGAGAAATGAACTCCTTCTTACTCCAATCAAAACGCACATAGCTCATTACAAAAATACTGACAGATGTTAATAATAGGTAACACTTCCCACAAGGTCCTAAAACCTTAATACGTTAACTCTACAGATTCCTGAGAGAGCTGACATATGTAGAAATGAGCTTCAGGAGGGTCCGTCACTTTTCCAGTCTGGAGCAGAGCCTGGAGGCAGAGTCCATCCTCTGAAGTGCAAGGTACTTGGGGAGATGACCCGCTGACATCAATGTTTAATAAAAACAAACCAACAACCAACAACAGCAACAACAAAACCCAAAAAAGCAAAAGAAAAAAGAACCCCCAATATTCCTGGAAATTTCATAATCTGTCCAAGTCCTTCCAATTCTCTACTTTCATTCTTTCTCAACTTTTACTTTCTTTCCTTATATTTGGTGTTCAGAACTTGGGTTTGTCAGAGGAGGCAGATAAAAAGGAAGTAAAAGGAAAGTCACAAAGCAAAACCTAAATGTATGTATGTGTGACAGAGAACTAGGTTTGGTGGCGGTGCAGGTCTCTAATCTCAGTGGGAGCCTGAAGCAGCAGGATCATAAGTTTGAGTCTAGCCTGGGCAACTTACTGACATTGTCTAAAAAAAAAAAAAAAAAAAAAAAAAAAAATTTGAGGGGGTAGCTCATTGTGAAGACCCTAGGTTCACTCCCCAGTGAGACAGACACATACACATAGTCACTATTCCTCCCTCTCTCTCTCTCTGATATGAAAGTATGTATCCCAATTCCACTTGTTACTAGGGAAATTTGGAGATTTGGAGACTCTATAAACTTATAGACATTGATGAGTATCTACTCAGTATTGAAGGCATAACAGGAATACCACCTTTTAGAAACTGATCTGCGTAGGCAAATTAAAAAGCCTCCCAACGCTGTCTGTTATGGCTTGCATCTAGAACTAACCACACAGTCATAGGTGAGGCTTTTCAGAGGTGGCTGGATCTAGAGTGTGTGATGCTGGGATTGATAGAGGGACTGACGCTAGGCTTAGAGCTGCCTCACTCTGGGTATGAGTGCTATCTGCCCTAAAGGTGGGTAGCCTGGATAAGATGTAAAGGACAAAAAGAGGGTCACTGTTTGTTGCTGTCTTCAGCCTGCTATCTTCTTTTCTGTGATGCCCCTCTGCCATGCCATCCTGCTTTGGAGGGAGCAGGCTAAGAACTAAAGCCTCTACAAACTGTCGGCCAAATTAACCTTTCCTTCTTTAACTTTGGGCATCAGGTACTTTGTCTCAGTAATGAGCAAAGTAACTAAGACACTGTCCAATGAGACCTTGTTTAAACTGGGATTATGCTAAGCTTATTATAATTATTCTATGGAGAAAACAGTTGCTATATGAGCAAGCCAAGTATGGTGGTGCATGTTTATAATCCCAGCGCTCTGGGAGGCTGGGGCAGGAGGACTGCAAATCTAAGCCCAGCTTGGGCAATTTAATAACTTAGTGAGATCTTATCTCAAAAATTAAAAATATTAAAATAAACAGGGTATGGAAGAGGAACTCCAAGGGTCTTCTAGGGTGAGATCTCCTGGAAGAGCTGAAGGGCCTGGGTTTAATCCCCAAACAACTAACCAACCAAAACAAACCAGACTACCTTATATATGAATTTGCTTAGAACTCTGTCTCTCATGCTTTGGGGTGGTAGTGGTGGTAGAGGAGATTTTGAGACAGTCTCACCATGTAACCCAGACTGGGGTTGAACTTTGGATTCTCTTGCCTCAGCTTCCTGGGTGTTGAGATGAGAAATTACCTGGCTGCACCCCCATGCCTGGCTTCTCTGCCTTTGTTTTGGTGATTATTCTTCACTTTCCCAAATGCTGAATTTGAAACTTAACATGTTCATGATGGGGCCATAATTTGTATATCTTGCTGCCGATGGTACATGCATAACTCTTCCACTGGGCAGCATGGAACAATTCCATCTCGTGCTACAAGCTGCCTGATGAGACAGTCATGCACGTATACCCTGTGGTTCAAGCTAACAGGATGTGTTAAACCAATACAACCAGGATTCAAGAAGATTGAAACCATCAATGCTGCATGTAGACACTAAATAGGAAGTGGCTAGGTTACTTTATAAAATATAGCCCTTCAGCTGAGATTAATGACTATAAGACTAAAAGTGAGGTCCCTGTCACATTTCTCTCTTTGAAGCGAATTATTTCTTCCAATTTCTGGCAGTCCAGTGTGCAAATCGTGGGTTGAAATTTGGATATGCTCACTAGTTCAGGTCTACATCACGCAAGACAAATTTTTCACGAAATGAAACCTATCTTAGTGAAAAATAGTAAAGATCCACATGTACTCTCTGACAGGGGCTTATTGTCAGATGAATGAACAGTGATATTAATGCTCTACCTAAAGTCCTATTTTCACACAATGAGTACTTAGGAACTGGGAAGAAATAGTTCTGTTGTTTCAGCTCAAAGGAGGCAGAGGAGACAAATGAAGGATAAAGGAAAAACTTTTCATTTCTTTCAAAGTTCTTTTACCTTTTCAAGTTGGATTTTAAAGAGAGTTATTTTTTGGGCTGGGGATTTAGCTCAGTGGCACCCACACCTGTCTCCCTCCTAAGCTCAAGGTCCTGAGTTGGATCCTCTGTACAAAAAAAAAAAAAAAAAAAAAAAAAAAAAAAGAATCATTTCAAGGACTGGGATGTATATTGGATGTTGTGAAATGGGAAGAAAATATTCAAATGCGAAAGGGAACCAGGGAGGAGCAAGGGAGAAAGGAAAGAATTGACAAGAAAAAAAAAGTGAAAATAGATGGAAAAAACGGAAACAGACCTTTCGTACATAGGGAGGGGAGGTGACTTAAGGGGGAAGAATGGGATAAAATTAAATTTATTAAACAATAATTCCTTTCTACTTATAAAACTATACATGCTACCTGTGAAACAAACTAAAAGAATCACCTCAGATAATATGCAAGAAATGAAGGTGTAAGTGATCGTATTTGTAAATTCACTCAGGAAAAAAATTAACATTATGATATACTTTTTCCTGTATTTCTTTTCTCTATACACGATACGAAAAAGGGCTTAATTTACAGTCTACTTTTATAATAAAAAACACTATATGAGGGATGAATTTTAAGCAATAATTACAGGTCTTCTTAATCATTTTAAATATTCTCCTGAATTAATGACCGATTTTCTGTTCATAGAGAGATTTTAGTTCTTTCTACTTCTTGCATCTAAACAATGTGAGAAATATTTATAAATTTGTTTAAAGTATAAAAGGAATTAAAAAATCATATTATTAACCAAATAGGTGTTAATGTTAAATGGTTTGATGAACAAACTGAGGAGTCCAGTGAATGTATCAAAACTATGCAATATACATATAGCCAAAGGATAGCATGGTGAATTTAATGGCTTGACACTTTTTTTTTTTTTGGCCTGTAATCCTAGCTATTTGGGAGGCAGAGGCTCATGGGTTTGACACCAGCGCGGGCAATTCAGTGAGACCCTGGGGGAAAAAAAAAAGACTCTTTTTGTAGACTTAAATGTGATCCCAAGTAAGGTAGAATCTTGTTTTATATAGTTCCATGCTATACCAGGGATTAAGTAAGTCTCCAAACCTAAGTTACTCTAATTCCCTAGACAATTCTGTTCTAAAAAGGAAATATTTCTCATCATTTTGGGTTTCAAGATTGTACTGCTTTTCCAAGTCTTCATTAATGTTTCAAGTTGTTGTTATTATTATTCTTATTATTCTTAGTACTGGGGATCAAACTTAGGACCTTCTGCTTGCCAGGCAGGTGTGGTGCCACTGAGCCACATCCCCAGAAACAGCTAAATCCCTGGCAACACTTTGAGGTTATTATCTATCACTTTTCTTTCTCTTTACTGATGAAAAACTACAAACGCATCCATGTATAAGTAAATTGAAATCTAACACCTATATTTCGCACCTTTGAAAGTAAGTCTCTGAAAAGAGAAACATGTTCATATCGGCACAACAGGACTTAGTGATTTTGTTTTGGCTGGTAACTCCATGCTAGGCAAGCCCTCTACCACTGAGCTACATTCCCAGTCCAGCAGGTTCTATGATTTTAAGCACAAATTCCAGTGTAGTACTTATTCAAGATTCCTGATGTGGAGGTACTGGACATACAGTGTGGTCAAGATAAAATCATGGGATGGGAGATCCTCCACTAACTAGATATTATTTGTGAGCAAAATATAATCACATTGGATAATCTACTTTGGCTCCCTGTTTTTGAAATCTGTGTTATGTGCACCTTAGATTCTAGAAGAGAAAGCTCAGAGAATTCTTGCAATTTGATTTGAAAGCCTTGCCTCTCTCAAGACTTGTACTCTGGAAGCCCAAGGGGTTTATAATTTCATCCACAAAAGGCAGAGAGAGAGAGAGACACGGATCCAGATTAAAAGGTTAAGAAGCAACTGAATGGCAAGAAGGCTGTATTAGTCATTGGGACAAAATACAACTTAAAGGGGAAAAGGATTACTT